AAAAACACCGAAGACGACAAGCCAGAAATGTAAAAGTGTGTGGTATTTTAGGTCTAGAAATCATAACATTTACTGTATTCTATGTAAGATAATCAATCCAAATTATTTTCTCTTGTCCCACACGAAGGGTGCAAAAGCCATGAAAACTGTTTTTGTAAGCGGCTATCCAACGTCGATTTCCTTTTTGAATGACCTGCCCCATTAATTTTAAGAGAAGAGTTGTGGTCCACTTGGCTTGCAATAAATAAAGATTTAACTTCATCGGTGATGTTCAAAATTAGGGCATGATTTGGGCTACTAGCGTAGGGTTTCTTATCATATCATTTCACTCGTTTGTTTGTGTGTGCAAATTAAGTTGAATTTAATGGGAGGGTTTTATTTTCTTTTTTCAGAAAACTTCCAAAACCTATGTGAAAATGCTAACCAACTGATCACAAGTAAAAATATTTAGAGTAAACTATAAATTACTCCCTTTATTTTTAAAAAATGAACTAATTAATTTTTCTTAATTTTTAAAAAATAAATTAATTAATTTTTCTTATTTTAAAAATTAATTTAATTTAATTCTTTTCGTTCTTTTTAATTTATTTTGATTTTTTAAAAAATATGAAAGAATTGATGAAAACATATTGCATCTTTTGAAATAAAATAATATTATATTAAAGATAGATAATACTAATCAAAGAATTAAATAACTAAAATTTTTTAAAAAATTAATTAATTCACTCTAAAAACTAGAGGGACTAAGTTATAATTTAGTCTAAAAATCTTTTGCCTTTGTTCTCAAAAAATAAAATAAAATAAAAATATTTCCTTGTTTGTTTCGTAAAATCATGTTAATCTATTTGGCCGCTTGTGATATTTCCAAAAGCAACCTTCATATTTGATTCCTCTCGTTTTTTCTTGAAGTTTTCACTAGACTAGGAGTAGAGTAATTAAATGCATCAAATATCTCTTGTTTACGCTCTTGAAATACTGAATTTTTTTTTAAAAAAACTTCTTTTTAATAAATTAAAAATGAATGTGATTGGAATTTCATTAAGCATAAAAATAAGTAACTAAATATTTGATGTTTTTTTTAATCGAATTTTAGTTTATTAAAATCTCGATCACTCTCCAGACACACACTTAATTAAAAAAAAAAAAAAACCCTTTTTGTCATATAGATCTTTGTTCATCCACTAAAAAATTTTAGTTCTGAATTTATTGAGGTTATTATACATACAGCGCTGGGGAGTGCCATGATTAATTGATCAAAGGGCCATAGAATTCCTGCAAGATAAAATATTTCTATATTCTACCAAAAAAAAAAAAATGATGACAGAATCCTCAAGTACATGATATAATTATTAGCTGAGGTTAAATTAATTAACAACAAGGCAAAAGATCAGTACCCATTAATTTTACATAGGATGTTTTTAGGAAATTTGGTACCTACATTCAATATAGCATCTCCAAGAACAACCCGATTAACAAAGAAAGAACACACAAAATTTAACGATATTTAACATAATTTTATTTACTCTATAAACTCGAGAGTAACCTTCCTTTATTACGAAAAAGAATAAATAGAAGAATATAATTGTAATGTTTATATCTAAAATCTAATTCCAAAACATTTTGTATGTATATCTTCTCCTTCACTCAAAGAAAACCTTTCAACTCTCGTATTTTTCACACTCTAAACCCAATAATCTTCTCAAATATTTATAAGAGTCAAACTACTTGATAGATATTGAAAAAAAAAAACTTAATTGATAAACAAGTTTACAAAACTTGAAAGCTGCTCTTCTCTTCATTAATCTCCACTGCATTTGCCGACCATTACTTTAAGGAAAACACTGAACCACCTCCCCAACGGATCTACAGGTTTTTATATGTATGTATATATCTACTAGAGATTGAGCTCTTTCTTTATATATATATATATATATATATATATATATATAATTTGTAGCATGATCGGTTACGTATTGTAGACATTAATGACGAGTTGGTGAGATAGTGATGTAGTAGAGTAGCTATAAATGATAAGGAACGCAATGGAAAAAGGCTTGATAGGGGCAAAGAAAATTGAGACTGAAGAGTGTTGTGACATGTGAGGACTAGTGGTATTGGCCAAGGGTGTGTGACAGACAAGCCATTGCCATGATGAGATGATAATTGTCCGTTGCTATCTAAAATAAGTGTGACAGACAAGTCATTCCCATGATGAGAAAAATTTGTATTGATACAATATATATATATCATTAAACATACGGTTACCATCTTTAAAATCAAGAAGCTAGGATTAAAGTAATGTTTAGTCAATTTTAACGAGCATTACTCCAATCCCATCAAGTTAAGTCTCTCTAAACGTTTTCAATAATCCAAATCCAAAAACAATGATAATGGTTTCTTACAAAAAGATTAATTTTTGTAAAAATTTTGAGTATGTGAGTTAAAAAAGTAATAATAATCTAAAGACCGATCGTAAATTGTACTGCATGTTCTTAATTAACCTTTGGGAGACTAATTCCTTATCACCATGACGAACCTTGATCCATAAGTATGGTATCCAATTCATTAGTTTCTCCAAATCCATGCAAAAATTGAATATTATTAGACATTAGCAAGCATGAATCATTAAAGATGGAATACGATGATGTATCTGCAAGTGCCTTATGAATTAATTAGTTCTTATGAGAAATGAAAATTTCATATCCATCCATCGACATAAAGTGCAAAACGATTCTGAACGTGACCAATCCATTTGAATTGCAGCAAGTTAAACAAGGGTTGCAAATTCTAAAAATGTTCCAGGAGTGTCCCATAGCTGCAGTTGTAAAGATTTCTGCTTGATGACAATCGCATGCTTGTGTTCTTTGACAGCTTAGAAAAATGATCAGTAGTGGGTCTCAAATTAAAGGTCATGCTCGTAACAACGACCACTTGATTTCTCGAGTTCAATGATAATTGCATGCTTTAGTTCGTTGACAGCTTTTAAAGGCACTAAGATACCATTAGCTCGTGCATTGTGATAGGAAACAAGAAGTGTTATTGGAGGTTTTAAGCATGAAAAATGATAATTAAAGTGGCTACTAATTAACGATTTTGACAGCAGGCCAACTACTATGTGGTCAACTTATCTAGACACGTCTTAAGAGGCCAAATCGTGGCAAATAGTCCATGAACTTATGTCATAATTAGGATGTTATGATTAATGTAAAGTACAGTCAACTTCTGAATTAAAGAGAAATTAACCATAAAGGGTTAGTGGGGTCTTAGTTTTCTTTTCAAAACTGTTTTTGCACCACATAATAGAAGATCTTCAATCAATGCAACCACCCCCTCTTTCGATTGTTTTCACTTACAAAGTTGGATGGCACCACACTTATTTATTACTTTGAAATGTGGACATCATGTTATCGATGTGTTTCCCTAATGGTCTTAAATTGGTTCAAAATTTTGCAACAAAAAGAGGGCAACGTCGCTTTGCTACATGACCAGCTAGCTAGCTAGCTCTCACCTATGATCCTATCCAGTGACTTTCGCATATGTTCCTTGACACGACTCCTAAACTCATACTCCACAACTGACTTAATCAAAAGGTTGCCTTTAGTGAGAAGTTAGCGGAAGAGACGAGATTTACACAAGATAAATCTGTCCCATAAAAGAAGACAAACGTAGCAACTTGGGTATGCATTGAGATAAGAATAGAACAATCCTAATATATATCAAAGATAATGCAAATGAATTGTCTTGTCTTGTCTCATATATTAAACATTATCTGAGAGTGACATTAAGAAAAATTCCGGCTGAATTATCTATGGTTGGAATGCAATTAAGGAACCGTTTGGTATGGCTGAGGCTTTTTCCAGAAGCAATGGCTATTCTAGTCGTTGAGAGCGTTCGATAATATGCGTTATTAAGATGTTTTTATGCTGTTGTTTACTTAAAAATCAAAATCTTCACTCTGCAGCTTCTTTTAGAATGAAAACAAACAATCTTTCATTGGTTTTGATGCAAAAACCCTAAAAGCTCCAAAGAAAAAGCAAAAAAACACTGTGTTGCCAAACGGGCTCTAGATCATGCAAGGCTGTCATGTGAAGCATGGCTAGCAGCACATGGGCTTTGAGGGACCCTTTAGTCGGGCGAGCCCTAAAGAGGAAAGAAAATTCAAATGGCAGCACAAATGGTTCTTTTGGCCGACAAAGGAAGCTTTATCGTGTCTAATCCATGGCACTATGGATGGAGATAGAAACTATCAGAGGGGTGTTTTGAGATGCCTCACCAGTTCACTGTGATCATTAGATGCCTTACCAGGTAGTGAATAAGATACCATGCGTGCATCAGTTGCAGAGACAGACATCAATTAGACTCGAACGTATTCGGACATCACACATCGGATAATTCTACTTTGTATAGGATGTTAGGTAAGAAGAGACGTTTAGATTGTTAGCTTTGGCCTGCAGTTCAGGACTTGAATCAGATTTTATGGTGTCGAGCATGGAGTGTAACTGCCAAGCCACCTGTAAAGGCTACACTCCTTTCCTCGGTTCAGAACTGGGCTACTGAAAGATGGGTCTCATCCATCAAGGAATATAGTAACAGTTCCATGGAGTCATACACTTCAATCATCTTCACCAAGTTGAGCCATGCTTGCATGGGCACAGAGACAGAGAGACAGAGAGAGGGAGAGGGAGAGAGAATATAATTTACTGTGTTTGTAGTACTTAGGGGTATAATATATACCAGCAGCGTTACTAGAGAAAATGTCACGCAAGCAAAACACGAGCATACAATTTACAAATTACAAGACAAAGCAGAAGAATACATTTTCCAATTCAATCACAAAATTCGACTCCATTGTCCAACCAACCACCCAGCAAAACCCTCCCTTTCGTATATAAGGAAACAGATATTCAAATCCTTGGTGTTCTTAAATTCGGTTCACTTACTACAAGACACAGCTCGATAATGACTAGAGAAATAGTAAGCGACCTCCATGCAGCTTTTTCCTAGAATTTCTGAATAACGACGGAATTGGCAAGGCCTGCTTGCTCTATGGTCTGAGTCGGATCGGTAAGAAGCTTAGGAGGGAATCCCATCAACTGCAGCTGATAATTCTGAGCACCCCCAGGCCTGGATGCATCAATGAAGGACCGAATGTCATTGACTGTGTGGGTATTATTAAAGTGGGCCACCATGCGGGTCCCGTCAGCCAACCTAAGCTGAATCGAAGTCGATGGCAGTGCTTCATCCACAACCAGGCCCATCGAAGGGGCTGGAGCAGAGTTCAGAGGAGCAGAATCAGCTGTTGGTTCAGTTGCAGGAGGAGCACTGCTGCTTCCTAGAGTTCTCCCTACACCTTGGAATGCAACATGGCGCTGCTTCTCTGGCTCCTACAGGAAAACAATAACGGAGGAGTGTTGATGCATTTTTTGGACAAGAGTTATCGAATAGAACACGGAATTGCAGATTACAAGCAGGGTGACAATTTCTCAAGTTCCAGAAAGAATTGTTAGTCTTAGTAAATAATAAGAATAGAGAGAGAGAGAGAGAGAAGGAGACTCACCGGGCAGTTTTGATCTCTCCTAATCAAATTGACATGAACTGAGGACCTTCTATCAGCAGGTTCAAGCTCCTTTGGACACTCAGACTTCCTGATGCTCTGGAATAAAGCACAATTAAACAATATCATAACATCACCACAAACAATACAGACAAAGAAATAAGGGAGCGGGTGTAAGTAGAACACAACAAAATAAAAAGAAGCCCAAGGATGAACTACATATGCTCTGCACTAGCATATGCTGCTATAAGTGAAGGCTCAAGAGGATGTAGAAAAAGAAGCCCAAGGATGAACTACCTATGTAGCTAGATCCTTACGAGCCATTGTCGACTCAAGCAAAATAGTGAAAAGATAATGATTGAGAACGTTGCAATTTACACATGCTTTGAATTTTTCTCACACAGCAGAGTGGCGGAAACAGAGATCGCCTACTCCAAAACAAAAGTCCACTGTGTTAAAAAATTGTTTTCATTTTATATAATTTCTTTTATTTCATTTTAAATCTGTGTCGCTATTACCTCTAAGAATGATGCGTTTTCAGGATCGTCCAACGTCCTCAAGGGGCCGTCATTTACAGTGAAACCATTAGTCCAGAAAACAATATTGTGAACAACAGCCTCAGGTTGTTGAGGAGCAGATGGTACAGTCTCCCCTGAAAGTAATCTGCCAGTTCCAGCAAAGCTTCTTGAGCTTGAAGATTGATTAAGATTATCCAGAGGACCTTCAACAGCTCCCAATTGTCTAGCTTGATTGAAAATCGCATCAACGTCATTACCCTTTGTAGGATCTTGGACAAGCATACCACTGCAAAAGTAATAATTAGAAGTATTGAGTACTTAAATAAACACATGTCATACATTTATTATACATAGGAAGGAATGACCAAGGGAATCAAGTGAGATAAAAGTAAATGACAGACATAGGCATAGCAACTAAAGCTTCATCTGAAGCCATGGGACTTTACCCAAGAATTGGATTAATAACAGGTGCCACAATTAAAAAATTGAAAAGCATTCTAATATTCACAAGATAAAGAGAAAAAATCTCAAAAATATTGAATTAACTGATAGTTGAGAATATGAAAATAAGCAGAGATTAGATTTGGTTCCTCATAAAGTTAAGGAAGATTGGAAATTATAAATGCTTCAAATCGACAAGGCCTGATAAATATAGGACTGAAATAAAGTTAACAATGCACTAAACAACCATCTTCTATACACATTCCAGGACCGTGAAGCTTTCTTTGATCAGTAATCAGTCTACAAGTCCAGTCCTGAGACTCTGAATATAGCACTTCTTCTCTATCGATGCCACAGCTGCAGCATCAAGTGGTAAAATATAAACAAACCACCACAAAAAGGAAGGTCTATAGATAGATCTCATTGCTATCCAGACTCTACTAATGTCGTTATCCAGATCCTCCCACACCCTCCCCAAAAGCATTTCCAATACAGCAAGTCCAGAGCCTACTTCTAAACAAAATCAAAACGACAACTAACATCCATCCAACAGACAGAACTGCTTACATGGGCCAAGGAAACTAACACTGCACTACTGATATCACACCAGAAGACACATGCAAGCCGTAAACGGCAGAGCCCCTATCCACACGATTCCTCCGCCTAATTGTCTAATTCTGAAATGCCCAACTTCCTACTTCTTGATTTTCAATGTTCAAACTTCAAGCATCTCTCTAACCATGACTAAAAACTCCCACTCCACTCATTTTTCTTCTCCAAAAATTCATCCTCAACCCTAAAAACCCACTTCATAATTCAATCAATTATCACTATTAACCCATCAATTAACAGACATATAAAAGAATTCATAAATTATGAAAGAAACCCAGTATTGCTAATAAAAAAAAAGACTGCAACTTTATATTAACAATCAAAACTTTGAAAACTTGGAAGAAACAAATTTGAATACAAAGTTAGGGTTCTAAGGGAAGTTGCTACCTTTTCTCACCACCGGTGTAGTACTCTTGAGGAGCATCCTCATCGTCGCTGTCAGAGTCAGGTCCAGACCGCCGGTTCAGATCAGAGAGAGTACGGATACCGCCGGCTCGACTGCTTGAGGACTTTGCTGGTTTCTTGTCCCTTGACGCCATAGATTTTTTATTTTGATTGATTTGAGGAGACTCGATGAGGTAGAAGAAGAAACAGACAGCCTAGAACCAGCAGATATTAATAATTTTGCCACAGCATATTTTATTTTATTTTTCATTTACAAAGATGCCTTGATTTTTTATTTTTTCGGATATTCTCGAATCATTTTACATCTAATACACCAAAATTAAATTATTTTCAACTAAATTTTAAACAAGCTATTTAAAAAATAAAATAATCTATTCATGAAAAAATTATTAATTTAGCTTTTTTTGGTTTTATTTTTAAATAATAACCCGATAAATAAACTTATTTAGAGTCCAAATCAATACTTTATAAATATAGAATCACTATAAAAATTCTTATCTTATTATCAAATATATCGTAATTATAAAAAGTTTGTGATACGATGAATAATATAATTTTATTTACATAATTTTTTTTCAAATCACTGTTAAAAAAATCCAATTTATGTAAATTTACTTGAGATTTTGCTTCTATGAAATAGAACAATCTTATAATAATCATCATATGGTTCTTTTTTCTTTTCTTTTTTTTTAATCTTGAAAAGGATTATAACTAAAAAAATCTTACTAAAAATGTTATGGAATAGTAATAATTAATGATGAGTATATAAAAATTTCGAGGTTAATACTCTCACTTGATTTTATAAATTAAATTAATTTTTCAATCTACCCTTGACAAAAAAATTTCTAATCTATTCTTATTATTTGAACTGGTTTTTAATTTATTTTCTTAATTAAAATTTTTACAAAATTTCTTATTAAATTTAGCATATAATTTGCATATGATATGTGATTTGATAAAATTATCTTTATTATTTGAGGTAAATCATCTATATTTGTTAATATAAAAATTATTTTCTTAAAATTGATTGAAAATTTAATCAAAATGATAGATTATAAATCAATTCAAATAATAATAAGGACATATTGAGAATATTTTTTTAGAAACAGCATAAAAATTTAACCTATTTTATAAAAAGACGAAATTAACCTAGAAATTTACTAATACAAAATTGTTTCACGAGTCACATACAGACAAATATGGAAACTCAATGGCAAGTGATAGATTCCACGAAGTACAATGACCAAAATAACCCTAGGTTTAAGTCCATTGCAAAACATTGCTTTAATGGATCCAAAATTCTTTCAATCTCCCCACAAAAACCAAAATCAAAGAAAAAGAAAAAGAAAAAAAATCAAAGAGAAAGTGTAGTTAGGTTTCCTTCCACGACTGGGACATTGGCCACTTCGAATCATCAAAATGCCAAAAAGATCAGGGAAGAGAACACTTGTTGGTGGGTCCCATCAACCACGATTTAGCTGACGTGGCAGCATCTTCACTTTATGTAACGAGACTGTGATAATAATGGAGGTGAAAGAGAGCATCACTGAGCAAAGCTTTGCGATGGAAGAGACAGCCGGTCGAACCGGACCGAACCGGGCGGGGGAGGACCGTTTAAAGCATGCCTGTGATGCTGGAATGGTGTCTGGAGAAATCCCTTCGGACAGTGAGGATTCTAATAATCCACTAAGTTCTGACTCTGTGAGCTCCGAGTCACCACCAAGACTTACTGATCTCGCAGCGAGTTTCCGAGTCTTCTCTGAGTCAATGGCAAGAATGGACCTTGCGGAGATGGAGATGATCAAGGCAAGAGAGGCTTCAAGGTTGGAGGCAGAGAAAAGGAGAATGGAGCTGGAGGCTGAGTTGACTCGAATAATGTTGCAGACTCAGTTGCAGATTGCTTCGGTTGTGGCGGGGAAAGGAACGAGTAGAAAGAGGAAACGAGTTGCAGAAGAAAAGGAGGAGACGCCCATTTCGTCAAGGTAAAGCTCATGCTCTCTCAACGAAGAAGTTTGGAACTTTAACCTGTGTTTTTTGATTGACTGACTCACCGAGTTCTGATTGGTGAATGCAGGGAAGGAGCTCTGCTGCTAAGTTTGCTACAATGCAACTTCTTCTTTTGAAGTCTATCAATATTGCCAATTTGGCCCTGATATCTTGTCCTTCTCTATTTAACAAATAAAAATGTCTGCTTGATGTTTTCTCTATATTATCAAATCAATAATGGACATAGAGAAACAGAGATTTGCATCCAATCTTAGCATTATATTTGAAGGTTTTGTGTAATGAACATATCTTATCCTGAGTACTACTTTGCAAACCCTAAGTGCAGAATTCCTACAGCAGAACCTGAACTTGTTCTTGTGCATTAGAAACTCTATCTAGATATGGCTGTTGAAATAAACCTCCTATGCAGAGATATGCCTCCGGTTTGTGTATCGATCATTGAAATTATCATTGCTGTCTCAATCTTTCTAACACGTATCCAATTGAGGTCTCTGTGGGCGCAAGATAGAGCCTTGAATTCTCTGTTCTTGAATACTAGCTAGAGCCTTCCTCCGATTCATGGCGCTCTCGGTGTATTCTGCCAGAGGTGGAAGACTTACTTGTTCTCCGTCTTTTGTCATTTGTCCTCGAATTATCTAGTGATGCCACAATTACAAAGACATGTTATCGATACGATGCGATAGGTTGTAAAATGTAGATTTGAGATGGGTTACTTGGTTACCTTTGATGCCCATGACCGTTCTGCCTGTTGACACATATTTCTAATGTCTCTTCCAGACATGCTGAATACAGCAAGAGCTAACATGAGTGCTAAGGAAAAAGAAGGAAAAAACGGAAGATGCAAACTTAACATATTACAGAAGGAATGATCTCCACATATGTTCAAATTGAAGAGGCAGAAAGCTGATACAATCATTGCATTCCTACCTCAAAACAATATTTATACCATTTTTCTTTATGAACAAACCCAACTATTCAACAATTTAAGACAATTGGAGAAGAATTTGATTTGTAAGAGATTTTACAAACTTACTCCTCTGTTGCTCTTGCCAATTCCTCTAACTCAGATTTTGTTAGGTGCTTTGCATACTGGGCAGCAATTTCCTGGCGATTCTGCTGATCGGGCAGGCCAAAGGTAATCATTGAATCAAACCGACTGAGAGCGCATGCAAAACATGTGTTAGAATTTAGAAAATGCTCCAATTGGCTCAAGGCGATTATCAACATCATATAGAGAACTTTGCACTGACATACCTGATTAAAGCAGGATCGAGGTCTTGTTTTCTATTTGTTGCAGCAATGACTACCACTTTCTTATCCTGTTCAAATCCATCAATCTGCACACAGAGAGAGCCCATTTTATCAAGGATACCACAAATTTGGTCGATACCATCCACTGAAGTTCATGTAAGTTAGCTCATGAAACAACCATCCAAACAATTCTATAAATGCTACTTGTAGAAGATAAACAAAACATGAGTAGGAAATAAAGCTTTTAAATGGTATAAAGGAGCAAGAATTCTAGGGTTCTACACGAAATTGTATTCGGCAAAAGGAAAGCTAATATTAATTTGCTACTATCAAGCAAGGCCTCTAATAGAGACTCCGAAATTCCCTTTATATATGAATCAACATTTTAGGCATGTTTTTACAAGGGTAGCAAGTGCATTCTTTCTTGGAGTTTTTAGAGAACTGATAATATAAACCATACCAATAACATAAAAATAAAAATAAAAAAAGACAGGGAGGACCAGGACCCCTAAAGAATGAAGAAAAGCATAAACAGAGTCGATGTCCTTAGCAGAAAATAAAGGACTCATATTTTTGGCCCACAGAAAAACAGAAGCCCATTTTTACCTGTCGCAGCAGAACTGACAAAATTCTACGAGTAGCTTCATGCATTTCACTGTCTCGAGCAGCAGCGAAAGAATCAACCTGTTACAAATTTAAAAAGAAGCATGAAACCAGATTGTTAAGATTTACATTTATTTCTACAAATGGAGCATAATGAAAAGAATGCTCTGTACAGTATCAAGTGCACATCACTTGCATATGTTACCTCATCTAGAAATATAAGAGCACCGCTAGGGATCTCATTTGCAAGTGAGAAAACTTTTCCCAACAAGCGTTCACTTTCTCCATAGTATTTTGACATAACAACCTCCAGTGGTACATATAGCAATGGGACACCCTGCCAAGGCATATGTAACAGGCATGTCTTTTCAGTATTGATAAATGCAGAAACAAATGCAGAGTGAATCTTTTTCCCCATTTGGAACCAATCAAATCTACATGATATGAAATTTTCCTCAAGCTACTAATTCATGTGTACAAAAAAGTTTCCAATTCACATTAATCCGCTAAAAACTGATCTAAACTGTGAATCGTTTTTCTATAGAGTAAAACTAATGTTCCAATTAAATCAACGGGATGGATAAGATGAGAACTGCTAAAATTTTCCATAAACTGCTAGTGGCTCACCGCTTGAGTAGCAATAACACGTGCACAAGATGTCTTCCCAGTACCTGAAAACATTTATTGCAAAATTTTAAGTAAGCTGCCCACTACATCAGCTAGCGAGAGTTCTCAATATATAGGGCCTTAAAGACAAAGTAAGCATGCAGAGAGGAATGCTGACAAATGACAAGATAGCAGCGAGTTCAACTCATTCAATGTAACCACTCTATCCAAGACCACAAGAAATGATGTTATAGTTTTGGGTCTGATGAGTACACAAAAGCCAGGAAGCAAATCTATTCAGATCTAGTTTAGAGCTCCAATCAGTTTAATTGAGGCTTTGAAGTGGCAGACTTATATATGTTCAATGCCCCTTACAGCATGACAAATAGTAAGAAATATGGCTGATGCAACAAGCAAAATTGCCCATATAGATCGATTACTCAATATCTTTTGCTAAGATCTGGACAGGAGAACAAACCTGGTGGACCTTCAAAAAGCAGAGCTCTAGGTCTATTTGACTCAAACTTGCAGCGAGTGCCACGAGCAATATCATCATATACTTCAGGACTTTGAAGAGCCAATAAGATTGTGTCTTCTATCTCTCTACACAACAACCAGTTAAACATAAGTATCCATGAGCACTTCCATGCATATGATTGGATGGTTCACATATAGACAAACAATAGGTGATGCAAATACAAAGATAAGACACGGAAGAAATAAATATGCTATCATGCTAATGGCTTACATGTTCTCTAAACTCAAGATCCCATACAGTGGATTGACCGGTATTGTGGCTCTATCAAGACATGCAATAGCAACTGAACTGCATAGCCTTTACTGGTTATGTGGCCTAACTGGAGACCTAAAAGTTGGGCCAAACAAATAACTGCATGATCCAGTAAGCAAGAATCTTTTGTGTGGAAAGTCAGAGAAAAACTGATTCTTGATTGGTAGTACTAATAGGCGGCACACATAGGGATGAAATCTCAAAACTTTTGCATCTCAAATAAAATAATTAGACATCTGTATGGATCCCAACATCAAGCTTCAGTTATTGAAAGAACGATTCATAGGGAAAAAAATACTAGTGCATGTTTGCGCTATTTTATTGTAATTTTTAGGACAAGTTTGCATTTCTTGCCAGAAAATAGAATAATGAATTATAATACAAATTTGAAGGAATTATAAGAGATGTGCTATGGACATTCACGCTCTGCATACCTTTTTTGCTGATCATATCCAGCAATATTTTCCCATGATATCTCAGTGTTTGGAGAATTCACAAGCGGTTCATCAAGTCCATATATTCTTACTCCCATGGACTCTAAACTAGCAACTGATTTGTCTCTAGAAGGCACTCGTGCAGAACCTTCGGCCGGTTTTCTGTCCAGGGACCTTAATTTACTACCAGCTAATTGTAAAGCAGACACAAAAGCATCAAGCTCTGTGGTGCTCAAGCTCCCACTCTTTATAAACTCAATTTCCTGCAAATGATTGCACATATTAATTATCAGCTAATCCACTACTTCTGAGGTGCAAGAAGATGTTTCTAGTATAGTAAATTGATGAACTCACAGGTTTATCTGAACTTATGAGCGAACGAAATAAGAGTATGCATAGATCTCCCTCGGGAACTTCTACATCTCCTTCATGCCCTTTTTCCCCCCGGTTTCCTTCCTTTTTTCTGGATAATTAAGCGTTAGTTGCCAGGCAACTGCACTGAAAATTGTATGCAAGAAAAAACAAACAAATTTAGCAGAATTCAAGCAATGAATGACTAGAAGGGAAATTTCTTTTTTTTACAAGAGTCTCTATCTAACTCAAAACTAAATACTACTCCATATGGAAAACACGAACACACTGAAACTCGTTTCATCTAACCTGTCCCAAGCACGCAATGACATATCTGAACCAGCACCGCGTTCATCGACCTTCACTCCGAGATTAGAAACAAGGTGTGCAATCAACTGTGGCGTATCACATGCAGGTGGAATTTGGAACTTGATTGTAACCTACAATGCAACATTTGATCCCATAACAATTGCTATACTGTCGATTATACATTGATTGAATTACATTCTAAGACTTTAAAATTTTTCCGACAATACAGAAACACTCACAAAAGCAAACCAATAATTAGACAGGACCGCAATTTAAAGTTGATCACAATAGCTATAGCATTACTAAATACTAATCAACAACCTTTTGGCCCTTAACAGCAACAGTGAAGCGAGGATAAGAACCATATTTGATCCCTTTGCTCTTAAGCAACTCTTCAATTCGCTGCCGTTCTTTCTTCGCAATCTCCTCCAAGTCACCGTAGCTCGAAGGAGAAGATTCTGATGGCAAAGGAGGTTTACTAGCACTCTACATAAATCCAAATTCACCAAAAATTTAAAACCAAACCAAAGGTTGAATCTTTTCAGCATACTAATCATTATTTCGAAATAGAAACACTTAATTTATGAATGAAAACCTCATCAGAATCTGCATAGGCTACTTGTAACGTTCCAACTCCAATCAAACTAGCTAGCAAAGCTGGAAGCACAGAGTTTGGCAGACCATCAGCATTAGAAACCCATCTGGGCCGTTGAATTTCTAATGAACTTGAATGAATTTGGTGATTAAACGAACCTGCATTTAGCATTGAATTAACACCAAATAGAACACTTCCTAATCATAATCACAATTAGAAACATAATTATAATCACAATTGTCAAGAGCTTACAGAGAAAAAGAGGGATCCCAGAAGGGAGGTCACGTGAGGTGGCACGTGAAGGGTTTAGGGTTTTAAGAGAGGAGGAGGAGATTGTCCGCCATGACCGTATAGTTCTAGCGAGTCGACTCAACCCCGCCATTTGCTTTCAGTTTCCGCGAGTCTTTCAGTTTCCAAAAAAGAGATTTTTTGAAGTCTCTTTTATTTATGTGCTTTTGACAATATCATGACATGTGGATGATGACTTGGCCAATGAAAGCCCAACAACCTCAATGTAGCCCAGCTTCTGGTTTTTTGGGTTTCTGTTTCTATGAAAGCCCAGTCCACTTAAACACAATGGGCTTTACTGATTTTGAATATGTTGTTTGATGGACTAGGCTGGTTTTTTAGTATATTGCTTGATGAGCAGATGAGTTTTTTATTTTTATTTTTTAACTCAGACACCTAAAGTTTTTAACTGAACTAATTCGTTAGAATTTGAATCCGTGACCTCTTATTGTAAAAGACTACTATCACTAGGTTATAAATTAGCCATTCGATGAGATGAAAAATGTTGTATGAGATTGGATAGACGATAATGGACAAACAATCTTGTATTAAATACCAACATAATTTAAGTTGTTTTATCCTATCCAATACTATATACCAAATGCTATTTTATGTTACTTTTTTTTTTTCAACTAAAAATCTAATCAATTCTTTTGGAGTAATTGATAAATAGATATGTTTTCTATTGCATATGTCCAAAAAAGATATTCTACATTTTTATTTATATGTATCTCAAAATATTTCTGGTCAAAAATTTAATTAACGTATTTTTTAAAAAATATATTTAATTAAAATTTATTTTTTAAAATATTGTTTGAGTACAACTCTTGAATTTTTTTTTTAAGTATGAATAAAAAATATTGATAGAACATAACAATTATTAATTTTTTTTTTTTAGTATGTGTGAAAAGTCAAAGAAAACAATATCTTTGAATGAAAAAAGCATATTATTATTTGAGATGTAAATTTTAAGAGAGATTACAAGCAAATCATTCTCTTCTAAATATATTAGTTCAAGGATATTCTTGATAGAAAAAATGGAAGAGGGTAAGAAGAAACTAACTATTACCACTTCAATTAGGGATCAAAAGTCCAATCTTGCTCTTTTTGCCAAAACTTGGATCGAAAGAAGCAACATTTAAACTCACAAGTCCTTGACTAATTGAGCTATCCCCATATCTTGAAATGAAGTCACTTTGATGTAATTCGAGATCATTGAAGTCGGCTCATGCTCGACCAATTTTGAATCTTAGAAACGAGAGTCATGGTTGTAGAATTCAATGCTAGTTGGACTTTACAAGGAAGGGGAAAAAAATGGTTTTACACATGAAATTTTATACAATTAAAATTTTTTTGATTGAGATTCCGAGCTTTTTTATATCTAATTTAAGAGTTTTACTTTTATATTATTGGTGTTTTAAACCCTAATATATCATGTAAACACACGTAGTAAGCTCTAGTTAATGACAACTTACACGTGACAAAACATCGCAAGCTCTAACCAATAACAATTTATCACATATCATGATATATCAAAATTGAGTGAATGAATTGGTGATGTGACAAGTCGTCATTGGTTAGGATTTAAAATAACAATAACATAAGAATAAAATTCTTAAATTGGATTAAAAAAATTTAAGGTATCAATAAAAAAAAAAACTGAATTATACAGTATCTTAATATACGTAAAATCCGAAAGAAAAATGCTGAATAACTACGGGCAATAAAAGGACTGCACGCCATGGAATGAATATTGGAAGACAAGAGATTGCTTATGGATCCAGTGGGGCTTAGAGGCCATGTGGTTAGCTGAAATGGGTGGAGTAGCTGAAGGGCAATGGCAAACACACATGACAGAAACTTGAGGGCTTTGTTTTCGATCTTTCTTTTTAGCATTTATCAGTGAAGGTCCACAAAACAAACAGAAAACAGCTAGCTAGCTAGTAGGTGTAGGTGGTGGTGGTGCCGGTGGTGGTGACAATTCACAGGATGATTAATTTGAGCTTGGTTTGCCACAGCCATAAAGAAGGATGGCCATGCTAACAAGAACATTGACCCAGAAAGAATTTAGTGAAGAGAAATTATGTGTACGTATATATAATTGTAACTGCCATGTTTATTTGTTCCCTACGCTTCTTTTATGGAACTTGTCTCCCACCTTGTGTTTTTCACTGTAAAAAATAACATAATTCTGCAGAATTGTGACTTCAATTTTATAATATTATCCAGTCGTTCTAGGATTTTTCTCTCTTTTCAAAAAGCCAAATTAATATTGCGTTATGAGTCCATCATTCATTCATTCATATCTAGTTTCCATTGATATAATTTATGGTGTTTAAGTCTTTAACTGATTATTATGTAATGTAATGATCATTATATATTAATTTCGAAATATTTGGTTATTATTATTAGGTTTTATATAATAGTTATAATCGTTATTTTATTACTATGATAATTGTTACGCTACGATTCATAATAACGGTTTTAACGATTTTGATTGTTTTTTTAGCTACATGCACTATTAAAATTATGATCATTGTTTTTTATTAATTTTAAAATATTTGATTATCATTATTAAGTTTTATATAATAACTATGATCGTTATTTTATTATTACGATAAGTTACGATTCATAATAATGATTTTGATTATTTTTTTTAGCTACGTTCACTATTAAAACTATGATCCTAGAATAATTTCATAAATGACTGCATCCCAAAAATTCTCTTTGCATACAAGCCAACCCATTCAAGAAATTATATTAATATATCAAGATTAGTTTTTTTTCAGTCGGATTTTAAATAAGTCATTTACGTTCAAACTACCATATTTAAAAATAAAAAAAAAAATAAAAAAAAAAACACTTGTTTTTTAAGTATATGGCTTATAATCCAAATCTTAAATAATATCATAGAGAACAAACTTATTTACCAATTAGATTAAGTCTCTAAAAAAAAAATTAAAATCAAAATTATGAAATATTTGAATATGGATTCGACAACTTGTTGGGTTTTTTGTTTTTAACACTTGTTTCAGTCTTCCTATCTGAACTAGACGCATGTACTGTTGCTCTCGATGAAAGCCAATTCAGAGAGAAGTGCAGAAGGTAATAATGAAAAGCACAGACTCATACAATGATGTGCCCAACTGCCCATGGCATGCATGCTTCCTAAATTCTGATGAAAAAGCAAAGCCACCACACAATTTCTTCAACAAATTAATTAACAATATAATATAATTATTATAAAAACAATACTAAACTAAAACCATCATTTATTATTCACACCACTATTTAAAACATTATTTATTCAAACACATTGTTATAAAAGTTTTTTATATTATTTTTTTCATTTATATTATTTGTTCAAAATCAAATACATTATTTTTTCACTATATAATGATATTTTTATAATTTTAAAATATTTTTAGGACATTTATTATAAAAGTTTTCGTAACATTATAAATTTATCATTTTTTAAAAATATTATTTTTTTAATTCCTAAATATTTTATATTAGAATTTGATTTTTTTTTTCATTTTGATCATTTGGTCATTTTTTTCTCTGAATTTTTTAATTAAAAAAATTTAAGACAGAAAATGTTTAAAAAACAATTTACAAAGTAAACTTTTAGTTAAAAATTATTAATTTTGACATTTTTATATCATTATAACTTTTTTAATTTGTGGATAAAAATAAATAAATAATATTTTTAATAACAAATTTATAAAAAACATAAAGAATAATTGATTAAATATAAAATTTTGATTAAAAAATTATAAAATTAAATAATTTTTTATTTAATCTTAATTTGATGTATTTTAATATATATAATATGATATGAAATATTAAATTAAAATAATTTTATATGTTATGTACGGCATGGGACGGATAAAAACTCTAGGTGGATCTCTTTCTGTTTGTTTTTGTAGAGTTAGGTTTATCTCTTTCTGTCTGTATGAGCTGTAAATCTCAAACGCACAGAGACTCATAGAATTTTGGAAGTCTTAAAGTGAACAAACTTTTGAAATCTTACAGTAACTTTTTCTTGTTAGTTAATTAACTAATTGAAAAAATATAGAGAGAGAATACACAGAAAAATACATCTAAATTATCACACCAAGAAAAAAAAATATATATATATATATATATATATATATAGTGTCAATTAATTACAAACTCTAATAAACTTTTTTGGTGAAGAGGCTACGCAAATTAAAAAGATTGCCACCATTTCCAACATTTATGGTGCTATTAACACCGCTACCACCACCGCTGCTGCCCCCGCCGTCAATATTTTTACCACCACCGCCGCTGCTGCCACCGGCACCAATAGCACTATTTTCATCACTTCTACAACTCAAATGGTTTCTATACCCAATACACATGGGCACATTAATGTTCAAAACCTTTGTTGTTCTAGCACCATTAGTGCTACCATTGCCATTTGCTATATTTTTACCGCGGCGAGGCTCGGTGGTGAATTCCTTTTTACTGCTCAGTTTTTCACCACTCCTAACCACTGGCTCGAGAAGGCTACTCTTCGTGCCGGAACTGCCTCCGCGTCGGACCTGCCAAACCGGGCTACTCCGACCCAAATGGACACCGGGTCGACCCGGACTACTTGGCAAAGACTTTCTTGATTTGGATTCCCCTGCTGAATTGCTCCTTGAACAAGGGGCGCTACTTACCTTCCGGGTTCCGGGAGCTCCGGGAAACAACTTGGGTCGGGTCACACTGTTCCCTGCGGATCTACTACGTGAAAATGGCCATATGTTGATATTCAACTCAGCTGAACTCGCTCCACTTTGACTCTTTCTGTCTCTCTTCTTCTCTTTGTCTTTATCTTTCTCTTCTTGTTTCTTGGCTGCCGTTGAAGTTTTCTTGTCACCTTTCTTGAATAATATATCTTTCCATCTCTTTGAACTTGAGGTTGGCTCTGCGGTTATGCTTGCTGGTGAAATTTCGGGTTCAGGGTCAGTTCGAGAGTTGGGTGGTTCGGGTTCGGGCTCGGGCTCGGGCTCGTCCGGGTCAGGGTTGTTGTTGTTTTTGTTGTTATTTTGGTGGTGGAGGAGGTGAAGAGGGAGGAGAACACCATCAACAAAGAGTTCATCAGCTGAAAGAAGATTTGGCTGAGGGAAAGATGGGTTTCGGACCTTCCAGAACTCAAATTCGGGTGAGTTTGAATCGTTGCTTCTTCTTCTTCTTCTTCTAGTAGTACTGTTGCATGGAGAGAGGATTACTTGAGGTTCTTTAATGGATATTCTTTGTGGGCTGTCCATGTTGTTGGAGAATTTGAGAGGAGGAGGAGGAGGAGGAGAGGAGAGCAGAGGTGTGGGGGAAGTTTCTGTGTTTTGTTGGGACTGAGAGAAGTTCAGAGTTCAGAGTTCAGTGCATCTTGACCCTACAAGTTAAGAGCAATAAACAAAGGAGAATGAGCAAATAAAAAAGAAGAGATAAGAGGGGGTTTAATGGCTGGCTCCATTATATATGCAACCATGCAAGGGAGCAAAAAAAAAAACAGCGAGATTATTAATTATTTTGGTTTTTTCTATGAGGGATATTTTTACAGCGAGATTATTAATTATTTTGGTTTTTTCTATGAGGGATATTTTTAGGTTAGTTTTGGTTTATCAAAACAAGTTTGTTTTGAAAATATTATCTACGTTTTTATTTATATATGTTTCAAAATATTTATTGAGTCAAAATTTTAAATAATATATTTTTTAAAAATATTTTTAATTAAAATTTATTTTGTAAAATATTATTCAAATACAATTTTTAAGAAAATAATCAAAAGATTGCTGATATTGTATAACAATTACTATAAATTATTGGTCTCGGTATTAAACGAGTTGATTTTCAAATGAATTTTTTATCAATGTATATTTATCGAGAGATGTTAAATTTTATTGTTTCTACTTTGAACAGCATTAGTCTTATTTTTAATGTAAAATAGGAATATTCAGGTAAAACATAAAAAAAATGATATATATATATACATTATGGGTACTGCTAAATTCGTCGTAAATTTTGTTATTTTCACCGATTTTTTATTAAAAATTACCAACAAATCTTTACATTTGATTAAATATATAATCACTAACTTGATGTGATAGTGATGTGTTGGTAATTTATAATAAAAATCTTGATGAAAAAAACAAAATATATGAAAGATTTAACAATATCCTTTTTTTTTCTAACAAATCTTTCGTAAACCTAGATCGATAAAAATCATTAAAAAAAAATCTTTTCACGGTCATTTATTTTATTAACTTTGATTTGAATTGTGAATAATCTTGGATTTGAATTATTAAAATGATAGCTCCATCAAATCTACTTACCTTGGTAGTCAAATATTATTAGTTAATAATTAAGGAAATCATGTAATCTAGCTAAGCTATTTGTGTATGAAATGGTTAACAATTTGTGTCAAAATCATAACAACTGCAGATATGATGAGATGTCATAATAATAATAATCATACACTCATCTTTTTTCCCTTAAATGAAAATATCGTCTTACATTGATTTTGATTTTAGAACAAAGAAAGGTATCATTCCATTGTTGCTTAGCATGGTATTGTCATTTTCACTAAAAATAGCACATGCAAAGATGCAGTACAAAGGAATGGGAAGTGTCACTACACGCCATTGCTATCCACTCGTATATACTTAAGAGCCCATTAAAGAATCTTTGCCATTTGATCCTTGAATCTCGGAACTTTTAGTGATCATTACAATTATAGCCTAAAAGAGAGATTAATTGATGGGATTAATTTGATCATTCCATAATGGTATCAATTTGGACTTATTTAGTCTAAACAAAACTTAGTGATCAAAAAAATATTAATCAGTTCGGATCCTGGTTTAGCTCTATCGAAACTAAATTCTTAATAAAGTATTTTCAAATTATCTTTCGTATAGATTCGAAATTAAATTCTTTTATGTACATATAGCCTAAAAGAGAGATTAATTTGATAATTTTATAGTAGTATTAATTTGGACTTATTTGGTCTAGAAATAAACTTAGTGGTCAAAAAAACATTAAACCGTTCATACGCTAGTTTAACTCAATCAAAACTATATTCTCAATAAAATATTTTCGAATTAACTTTCGGACAAACTCCAAACTAAATTGTTATAAATATATAAAAGTGGGGTTGACCCTAAGATGCAATGGGGCCGTGCAAAGGAAAGAGTGATGTCAAGTCGTGATAATTGGCAGCGATGTGGGGATGATTCATATGATCTTCATCAGATTCATGCCGCCTCTTCATTTAGTTGTAAATCTAAGACAAAGTGAGGGTTGACGTCTTGCATTGTATCCTCTTCTACGTATGCACAGAATGTTTTACTAGGTTATCTACCTTTGTCCATAATTTGTGTCGGTACAACATATATGGCCATTGATTTTGCTATCTTATTGAATGGCCATCGCTATTGTACTAATACTCAGCGTAACTTGTTGAGGATTTCAGAATTCAGAATGTTCATGGCTTATTGTGTGTGTGTTTTTTTATTATATGGTTAAAATATATATTTGAATTGATTTGCATGTCAACCGAAATTAGATTTATTTTCTAAAGATTTTTAGAATGTGTATCTATATTGATTCGGTGCATTCAAAATCTAGATGTCGGTACTAAAATTTGAATCCAAAATTCTAAAAAAGAAAATAGCTAAATTTTAAAATACAGTCAGAACTTAATTTAACGAAAAAATAAATACTCTATAAACAAAATAATTCTTAATGTTATTCTCTAAATACTATGATTTTGTGATTTTGTTCCTTCTCTAGGGTTTTGATGAAAAATGGATGCCAGCAAAATCATTGAAAAACACCAGCAAAAAAATCAATCAATTTCTATCCCAATAAGATTGTTTTTATTTCTATTTGTATGTGTTTCAAAATATTTATCTGATTAATACTTTAAAAAATATATATTTTTTAGAATACTCCTGATAGATAAAAAAAATCTATTTTTTTCTTTCATTTTTTTTTGGCTAACAAAAAATCAATATTTTTTTATATTTTTTTCCTTATCCATACAAATACTTTTAACATAAACATTTTAAAAAGAAATTTTGATTCCATGTGATATAGAATTAAAATTGATAACTAATAATTTTAACAAAAATAGTATTCTAAGAAAACAAAAAAAAAATAGCGAAATAAAATAATTTTTTTAAACTGTGTGGAAGATTAAAAGATACTATCTATTTAAGATAAAAAAATAAAGTAGTTTTTTTTTAAAAGTAAATAAATACTTTCAAACACACTAAGAAAGCGTGTGTTAAGTAAAAGTGCTTTTTGAAGCAGCCCAACCAAGAAGCTGGCTTTTCCTGGAGATTGGTGATGGTCCCTTTTACGTGATCATCATCGATTGCTTTGTGCAAGACGATAAAACGGACACCGTGGCAGTAACGGGAGTCACAAGTCATGGGACCCACCCCTGCCTCCAAAATGCACCTTTAAATCTCAACCATCCAGTGGATTGAAGTCCAAAGGGGAAGAATCTAATCATACGATTGAAAAAACACCCAATACCAAAGTGGATAGCTCTTCAATTCATGGATGACAAGAACATAATATAAGATTTGAAATTTTTTAATCCAGAACAATACCATAAAGTATAACATGTCAAGTCTCTCGATGCTACAAATTAATGTGAAGAAAACTTTTCGTGAATGTTTCACTTTAGTTATAAATTATTTAAATCATAACTAAAAAGTTATTTAGTTTTAATATATAAATATTAGAGTTGACGATTCAATCTGTCATCGTTCAATAATATAATTTTTTTTAATGTGGTTATATCTTTAATTGAATTAATTTTTATCTTTAAACAAATATTAAGTGTCTAATTTATTATTTTGAGAAAAAATTTTAAATCAAATTATTAGAATTAATTATACGATGTGTACTTATAAACATTCTATTTGATTGATTTATAAAAATATTTTAAAATAAAAATTAATCATATGTAAATTACGTGAATAATTCTAGTAATTTGATTTTCAAGCTAAACTATAGAGAATTATTCATATTATTTGATTGACTAGTAAGAATATTTTGAAATAAAAATTAGTCATGTATAAATTACTTGAATAATTTTAGTAATTTAATTTGAAAATTTTGAAAAAAAGAAGATATATTAGAAACTTAATGTCTATGTTTAAGGATAAAACCGACTCAATTAAAAAATAAAATAAGAAAAATTGCCTTATATAAAAAGATAGACTAAATTATTAACCCTAAAAAATTTAGTTTTGTGATTTTCTAATACATTAAATTTCTTTTAAATATCGAGTTAAGAGTAATAATCTCAACACAATCAACATGGAATGCATTATGTAAAGCAAAAATATCTCAACTCATTAGTCCTTTTAGGATGGAGGATAAGGTAGGCCATATTCCAACAATCTCCATTATGCCATTGCTTTCAACTTCAATCTTGCTAAGAAGAAAAATCTAAAAATATTAGTTTTACGATTAGGATTAATTCCACATCAATTGAACATACATGAATAAGGTTATAAAAAGGATACAATATGTCAAGATGCTTACCACCCACCAACAACAGTAGTTTTCTATCAAGTTTGAATTGGATATTCATCATTAAAAATAGTTATGGTTTAGATAATTCCATGAGCTATTGTCTCATTATTCATCTTTGTTCTCATAGAAACCTCCAATATAGTACATGTGATGCTTTGCGAAATGGACAAGTTTTTACAATCTCGATTTCTACCACAGAAATATCACCTTCTATCCATCAAAATGGATAGATAGATTTGAAAACCACGAAAGGATGTAATTTAATGATAAATATATTGTTTTAACTTATCAAAATCAAAATTTAATTTTCACATCTACGAATAATTAAATATAATTTTTTTTAATAATATCATATTTGTGTTAATTTAGTATAAGAGATAATCTAATGATCAATTAAAAATTAACTGTATTTTGTCACTAATTTAGCTCATAAAGTGATGAAATTTGATTTGAAAACTAACCTATATATATATATATATATATATATATATATATATATATATGAATGATAGATTTGAAAGTGAGTGAATCCTTCGTGTCAAGTTCTCAAGTGCACATAATATAGTTGATTAATGTATTATCATCTCTTGTGTCTTGATTGGTTGTAATCTCTTTTCATTATCTTCTTGCTAGCTTCGTCTATTTTATATCATAAAAAAGGGAAAAAAAATACCATCATCTCTTATCTTTGTCATAATAATACATATCTAGCTAGAGGGTGGTGAAAATGACAATGATTCATGGGATGATGGGTTCCACAAAATAATAAGCAAAGATCGAACCATGTGATGGACATATAAAAAATTAAGTCAAAGGTATAAAAATTATAATCCATCACACGTACGGTTGCATCATGAAAATATTGCTAAGAATCGAAGGAAGGAAGGAAAGAAAAAAAAAAGAAAGAAAAATGGGGTGTAGAAGGTGACAACAAGAGTGGACCCTTAGAAACAAATGGATGATAGGTGAGTGGTTGGCTATGAGCTAGTAGTAGTGATGGTGAATTGGTGGGACATTTGGAGCCTAACAAGAAATGAGGATGATAAGAAAAGAGAAATATGCATGGTAGAGATGGGTTTTATTTTTTGGTAAATATAAATTAGTCCTTTAATTTTGATAAACAAATGAATTAGTCCTTTTTATTTCAAAAACTAATTATTTAGTTCCTATATCTTTAAATTTTCTTGGAACTTCATCCCTTTCATTCTTTTTTATCTTTCTTGTTTATATATATATATATATATATAGATAATAGGATATTCTTCTACTAGTTTTTGCATCAATAAAGGCTTAATCCACCACTATTCGGGTTAAACTAGTGTCAAAACATGTTTAATTTTTTTTATCGATCATTAAACTATTTTTTAGGCTAAACTAGCTTAAATCTAATACTATTAAAAGTTGTTTATGACTAGTTATCTGTGACTAGTTATCTGTGAATAATGAGAAATTGAATATTGTTCTTGGCCATCCGCTCTTTTTCAATTTATTTTTATTTTTGTTTAAAAAATAGAAAAAAGAAAAAGAAAGAAAAAATATAAAAGGATTGATTAAAAAATATGACATTGTTTTAAATAAAATAATATCAAATTAAGCTTGGTCAATGCTGGTTAAGTGACTAAGTAATCAATTTTTTAAATAGAAAAGACTAATTATTTTGTTTCTTAAGAATAGAAGGACCAATTTATAATTTACTCTTTATTTTTTAATGAAATTTTATTTGGAGGGAAAATGATGAGCCATGTGCATGCAAAAACAAACATTATTTCATTAAACCCTTTCGGGTCCCATTCACACACACATAGCATACCCCTTCTCTCCTCTCATTCTTCAAATCTTGATAGCAACTCTCTCATGGCTTTTTGTAGGTAGCCGTTGTTTTAGCCCTGTAATGCCTCCTTGCCCTAATTAATGATCATCTGCTCTCTGTTTCCCATTCAAGTTTTAGTTATAACTACCAATCAATTCATTCCTGTGATCACCAATGCGTCTCTTCTGCTTAGTGGCAGTTGATTTCTTGCACTCGTAAAGGTAAAATCATCGAAGTCCCCGGTGGTTGAACGCAAAAATCACTATATCTGTTTCAGGAAAGGCAATACAGAGGAAGCATTGTGGAAGATGCTTTACAGAAAAAGCCAAAGGGAAGCTTAAGATGAAGAATGTACTTAGTTTTGGAATAACAATAAAGGGTTGGCAGAGATGAACAGAAAAAAAGATCCTTCAATATCCTATTCGAGATCACCTATGACTTTCCAATTAATGGCATTGAGTGTGTCTTGGTATTTGCATTATTGAATGTTTGATTGAGGAGGATGCGGTTAGTGCTTGATCACTTAATTGCCTACCAAAAGTACATTGCCTAAAACCTATAAAAACAGAGAGTCTACTGCTCCATGTGAGGTGAGACCATTTGGTAACAAGTCTCTTGGCACCATGTTCAGCCATCAACAACTTTAGACTAACTTGAAAGGAGGAAAAAAAGAAGGGAAATTTGTTTTTCTTTATTGATTTTAATGATTGCGTTATTTTTGTGACAAGTTAATTCTAACAAAGTGATACTCGATTTTTTTTGTCCTGAGTTCAGTTTCAAATAGATCATTTATATCTTATAAAATTAGATAATTAAAATTGAATTCTATTAAAAAAACTTAAGTCTTTCAATAGATGACTCATTCTCGATCTTATATATAAATCATATGAAATATATTCTGTAATACTTTTTTTCATTTACAGCTCATCTTTTGAAATCTGTTAAGTGTTTTGGATTTCAGAATCTTTGTTGGATTGTTAGGCTACTTTGAGACTTTAATACTACATAGAATTAGATAGTTGATGTTGAGTTTCATCCAAAAAAAAAAAAAAAAAATCCTTAAGCTTTATGGTGGATGCTCCCTTCGAAAGAATATGTGCTTTAATAATCTTCTTCGTTTGCAGTCTATTTTTTAGGATTTATCATGTGGATTGGACTCTAAGATTTTTGCTCAGCCTTTAAGTCTTTGAGAGTTTGATACCATATAAAGTTAGATAATTGATATTAAATTATCTTAAAAAGACTTAAAACTTATGGTAGGTGGCTCCTTCTTGATCTTATATATCAATCATGTTAGATATGTATTCTAATACTTCTCTTCACTTGACGGCCCTTCACTTACAGTTGGAATCTGTCAAGTAACTTGGGTTTCGAGATTTGAACCTATATATTTATAAGATTCAACTTATACTTAGAGCAAGTGTAAAAAACAAGCCTAATTCTCAACCATTCAAACTTATACTTGATCTTTATGAAGTTGATGATGAAAGATACAAAAACATACTTAAAAGATGGATAAGAAAAGAAAATACAATGGGAATTGTACGCTATCAGAAAAGGTAAAACCATGTGCCATCAGGGAAAAAAAAAATACTTTCGACTTCTTTAATTACTACGATTAAAAACAAAGTATGGATCCAACTCAAGGCAATAATGCAAAGAATATTTAGAAAAAGAAAGAAAGCAAATTATTGAGAGATTGAAATACCTTGTGCCAGGCAGCTAGTCAGAGACAACATGATCCTTGATCATAATATTTGTACTTTATGAATTCATATTCCCAAATCTTTATCATAAAAACGACCGATTGTATTCTTAATTTTAAAATTGATCTTGAATTTAATAATTAGTTTTTTTTGTTTGATGATCACATATATATATTCAGACCAATTTGCATGTCAATCGAAATTATTAATAATGTATTTCTTTTATTTTAAAAATATATATATTTTTTTAACTTTTCATATGAATTAAAAGGTTATTAATTGTTATATAATATCAATATTTTAAAAAAATATTTTTTTATAGAATTGTTAATAATCAAAATAAACTTTAATTAGGTATTTTTTTTATTTAAAATTTTAATTAAACAAGTATTTTGAGAAAAGTATAAATAAAAATACTGACAATTTTTTTAGAACAGAAAGAAAAAGATTACTAATATACGGTAAGAGAAAAAGAAAAAGTGAATTCTCTAGATATAGATAGAAAATGTGGCGTAGAAGGCTCGAATTGCTCGATGCTGGCCTGAATAAAACTAGTTTTACGATTTTGTTTGTTTTTTTTTTTGTTAATAATCATTTCAAGAAAAAATGGATCAGCTCCACATATTTTTATATTTTAGGCTTAGTTTTTAATAGTTCTTACAAGTTTAATTGCTTCCAATATATTTTCATATTTTAAATTATTCTTAAAATTATTTTTTAGCTATATAAACTGATGAAAATATCCTTATTATATAAACTTTCGAAGAAAATTGTTATATGATATTAAAATTCATTTTTTTCTTGATTATTTTTTTAATAGGTTAGATTTGAATTCTCTGGTGATGATATTTTCATCAATTTATATAAAAATATATACTAAAGGATACATTAAAGAATGAACTAAAATAAAACTGTTTTTTTTTTTCCTCAATAGAAAGCCCGTAGTAGTATTAAATCAATAAGAATCATATGGAATAGGTTCGATGGTTAAGTAGATTCACTTTTTTTCCTTGATTTTTCGAGTTCAAACCTTGAATTAGTATCTAATAGGATTTGTTTTCTAAATGAATCGGAATTATAGAAGACATCTTTAAAATCATTGAGAAAAGAATAGTTTTTATCGATGTACAAACTAAGAGAAATTTTATAATATATCAAGAAGTAACTAGTGACATGTAAAATAGTTACTCCATGAGCCTACTTTGGGGAGAGAGATAGACATACAAAAAAATAGTAAAATTACATCCATACCTACCAAAAGTGATAAGAAGATTTCAACGTCCGCTCAAATTTTTTATTTTCTCTCTCCTGTTTTTCTCTCTTTTTGTGTTTATCTCTCTCTCCAAAGTGGACTCATGAAGTAACTACTATACGGAGAAATTTTATAATACACAAGGAGCAAAAGGAGCAACTAGTGGCATGTACGATAGTTACTCTTTAGATCCACTTTGAGGAGAGAGATAGACACATAAAAAAGAAAGAAATTACATCCATACCCACCAAAAGTGATAAGAAGATTTTCATGTCCGCTCAAATTTTTTTATTTTCTTTCTCTCTTTTTGTGTGTCTATCTCTCTCCTCAAAGTGGGCTCGAAGTAACTATCGTATATGCCACTAGTTACTTCTGTGTATTATAAAATTACACATACCACTAGTTACTCTCGGTGTATTATAAAATTACTCCAAACTAATTCAAGAATATCTTCACAGCCTAATCAAAGAAAATTCCAACAAGTCAATATTCAAAAAAAAAAAAAAAAAAAAAAACAAAAGTAACTCAGAGTCACAGAAGTACTAAGAAATAGCGAAGCATATGTTTTGCATTGAAATGGTAACAAAAGGAGGAGGAATTATTGCTGTTACAATCAGAAGTTAATTCAGGGAGGTTGGAGATAATAAGTGAGGCAGCTGGTAAGTAGGTAGGTAGTACTGGTGAGGGTAAAATCATAGCAACATTAATACCCTCCTTGGCCCATAGCATGAAGTAAATGTCACTACTAGAATTCGGGTGGTCCCATGCACTGTTATCATGGCTAGGGTGAGCACCATTCGATAAAATCGAAAAATCAAATTAAACTGAATTAAAAATTTCGATTTGATTTTATAAAGAAATTTAAAAAAAAAATCAAAATCGAAAATCAAAATTATTTGAGATAGGTTTGAAGTTTTTTTAAAAAATTTGATTTTTATTAAAAATTGAATTAGTTTGTTTTTTTTAATACATTCACCCAATATTATATATATATATATATATATGTTAAAAATTCAATTCAAGTAATTAATATTTCTTGTAAATTAAAAAAAATTATAAAAAGGTCATATTTCAGTTTGATTCAAGAGAAAATTTAAAATTTAAAAGAAAAAATGTAAGAAAAAAATTGATTTTTAACCAAAAACTGAAAAACCAAACCAAAAAATTTGGTTTTTTATCTAAAAAAATCAAGCTTCAATTTAATTTGATTTTAATTAATTTAATTTATAAAAAAAATTAAAATCAAATTAAAAAATCGAATGATGATCTATAGCCATGGCTTTATCATTTATACTTGAAGCTCACACGGTCCAATACTACGTGTAATATAGTTGGAAAAAGTAAGATAGGCATAGCCATTGATGAATATGGGTGAAGAAGCTAAAACAAAAGCTACACATGACCATGTGATTATTGGGACATTGGGACGTGGGTAAAGGTGATGACTGTGTGTTTGGTTTGGACAATGTGGCTCATAGCACTAGACCTAGGGTTTCATGTCACCAGTACTATTCTGCTCTTTCTCTCCCTCGATTATCACACTCTTGACTTTGGTTTGCTTTTGGGTTTTTTGTCATCGTAAAAAGGAGTTGTTTAACTTCTATTATCTACACCTTCCTTCCAAGTTCCAACTTGTTTTTTTATCACCATATATACTTCCTTTTTGGGCGGTTATGATGGGATGCTTTACCCGCTTCATAATGTTGTAAAGAAAACCTAATTTGTAACTATTCTCTTTCCACATGCAAAACAACGTTTTTTTTTTGCACCTTGTGAAGCAAATTCCTTCAATTATTGCCCAAGAGAAGGTGATGAGCTATGGTGCTTGGTGGTAGGGATGGAGCTAATTCCATGAATTAGATCACTTGCATCATCTGTGGGCTATCAAGTATGGGTTTTTTTTTTTATTTTTTATTTTTATCATTATTATTTTTTTGCGCTTGAGGTCGTAGCCTAGCGGTTGATGGCTTGCCCCGATGATCACTCGGATTCGATTTTCTATGCGCACGTCCGTCATCTCTGCGGTGCCTTACCCGTCCATTGGACTTGCAGAAGTATTCAATGGATCCAGGTATTAATTGAGGTGCGTGTAAGTTCGATCTCGAACATCCCGGGTTATAGTAAAAAAAAAAGTATGGGTTTTTTTTCCCTAAAGAATTCCTTGTTGGTTGAAGTGAATAATTCACACCGAACAGATTTATTTGCAAATATATATATATATATATATATATATATATATTTATATAATATCTATCAAGATTTATTTTTTCATGAATAGTAATGTAAGAAACATTTCGACTTATCAATAAGACTAAACATTCTACATCATTTTTGGTAGTCAAAGTGGTCAAGATCGATTAGAAAATATCATATTCAGAAGATT